CTCAGTGTAAAATTGTTCACTGATAAGTTACAACTCAGTACAGGGGCTGGAATATTTGATTGAAGAGGTCGACTTAGAATCCCGCAACACGTCTGGAAATGCTAGACCGATTCCGGGAGAAGGCATGCTGACTCTGAGTACTGGGTACGTACTTCGCAGTCGTCCTGACAACATAATCAAGTTGCAACAAAGTTGAGGTCAAGCCAGGTCTAGATAGCGAAAGGTAACGGCAACTAAACCCAAGACCACACTATTTTTGTTTTTTTTTATCTACCAGTGAAATTTGGATTCCACTCCCACCGGCTAGCCCATTCGTCCAAAACAGAAAAAAAGGTTAAATTTTACCTGCCTTCTTCATCATTTTGCAGTCCGGCCTCAAGATAAACCAGCTACAGCACTTTAGTCTTATTGTATCCCCTTATTCTAAGTATCTAGGCCCTTCACCTGTATCAATTTTATTTCCATTCCCCTCTAGTGCTCTACCAACAATCAAAATTAATGAACCGACCTCAGATGGAGGTGGATTTAGTGCTTTTTAAAGAAACAGTGGTGAGGTGAAGGAGACTGGAAGTCCTAGCTTGACATGGATTCAGTTCGGTTCTTCTTCATAAATCAAGCAAATTCCCATACCATGTCTAGACCACCCCCTATTCTTTCATACTATTGTGTGTTTTTATGTTTTTAATTGTGCTGGTGTCTGTGGTGCGTCAGCTGGGGAGAGTTGACTTTCACTTCTTTTTCCTAATCGCACATTATAGGCCCACACACGCGAAAGTAAGCGGACATACCAACACAACTTGAGTTGGACAGATACAACCGTGGAAACACTGTCTGGTTTCCCTTTTAATCTCTGGGCCGGTCTGGACGAGTGGACACTTGCAGCAACAGGCGGTCCTGCACAGCCTATTATAGGTTCCCCTCTCGGTGCAGCGACAGGAGCAGTCATACCTGTGGCCCCATTTGCGCTGGGGCTGTTAAATGTAGATCAGTCGGCAAACGGGCAGGTAGATGGGCGGGCAGGCATGTGTCCCCGCGGAGAAGGGCGCAGCTGGTACCTTCCTGTGGAATAAAACCGAGTCCTGCTAAGCCGGAGGGACCAATGGGAGAAGGGGACAGCATGACCAACACGGGACTCGACTGCGAGGCTAGTCCTCGGGCTTTTCGGCCGCATTCGTCCCTCGGCAACCCAAGCGGGACTCGAAATCTGGCGGTGCAGCGCGTAATCTCGACACGTTAAGCTCTACACCATACAACTGGGTTCGAGTCCGCAAGTCCCTCTTCTTACCTCCGCTAACTGATTTGTGGTCAACCACAAATTTCATCCATGAAAACCTATAAACTATATAAGTATGTATTCTTGAAGAGAAGATGGTTAGCTATGGTCGCTTGGAGTGAGTTAAAGACTGAACGTACGAATTTTTCCACAATGCTTTAAGTAACCTTCACTATTCCATCGAATTTAACTTTCCTTGCCCGAATCGTAGGTTCACCCTTGTCAATGTCCTATTAGCACACTCGTTGGGATTCGAAGCCGAGTCGTGAACATTATGAAGACATGATACCGTTCGGCTGGATAATTACGGAGGATAGTTGGCCAAAGGGCAGAGGTGACTTTTAAAGCTAGCCAGGCCTGTACCAGATCACGTTTATCGTTTATTAGGCAAAAGCTTATTTATTTTCTATATGAGTAGATTTTGAGAATCTCATTAATTCTTGATTAAGAATATAAAACTTAAACTTCATAAGATAAGCTGTTGGGGGCTAATGCTAAGTCAAATTCAACTATATCTTTGTGGTAAAATTCACGTATCAGCCCTAAAAGCGCCTTAAACAACCTAGTCTGACTAACTTCTTGTCAAAGATTTATTTTTCGTTTAGAGTAGGTTTTCAAAACTACCATAAATCATATATATGAGCTGTGTTCACTCTAATTTGTTTAAAGTGATGAAGAGCTGGCAGTTGAATTTTCCCAAAATGATATGAGTAGAGTTGACGTTTCCATTGAATTTCACGTATCCTTGCTTTCCAAAAAGGTATTATCCTCCAGGGTGGATGGCAATTTCGATATAGCCTAGACTCAAACTATGATAGTGCAGTATGTAATCTCTACACGCTGCAACGAAATAGGTTGAATACAGCTCAAAGATATGTTTGCCGGAGTAATATACCAACCTACTCATATATTGTAGAAGAATGTTTACAAGTTATCAGTAACTATTTCCATAATAAATTACTCATCAACCAAGAGAAAATGTTACCGACCGCAATTTTATTTATATCTTTTACCTAATTTTAGCATATTAGTGCGGTTTTTCATAACAACTAGTCTCTCGCTCTCACGATGTCTGTCACATAATAGACGAAAGCTGAGCACGGATTCATCAGAGTAACAGGATGTTGAGCCGAGATCTTTTTACACAATCCAATAGTCTTCACTCCAAAGCAACTACTCTAAGAGTTCCACTAAGGCTCATTTACGAATCCCTTCCAACCAATTTATCATCCGAAGTGAAGAGCTTAGTCCCATTATTTACCCTAGGTCGCTTCAGGTGATCTAGAGGCGTTGTTCCTACAATTTTAAAATTACGCCTCCTGATGCATTTG